GGGGGGTGCGTGTTGAAACACCCCCCCCAGTTCTGTTTTGGCCACAACAACCTCCTGCAGCCCTCTGCCAGTGAAAACGGAATTCGGGGCGTGGATGTGTACACGTGGCCTTTCGCTGGCAGAGGACTGCAGGAGGCCATCACAACATGAGTGACTTTGAGCTGGCCATACCCATCCTGGCCACATCCACCCTGTCCCTGAGGTCAAACTCACCTGGGCTAGACTATAGTACCAGAGCTGGGGGCTAGGGGGGGCGGAAACTGGATCACCCTAGACCACTGTAAAAAAAATGCATTAACTGTGGCTATCTCATGGTCATCCAGACTTCTGCATTTGGGTTGTGGTAGCTTGAATAAGAGTTTACCCTTGGTTCAAAACTAATAGGAAGCAAGCAAGAACAATAAACCATGCCTTGATTTGTGATTAACTAAGCAAGGGGAAAGCGTGTTTTGTTAATCACAAACCCTCCATTCTCAATCCTTGAAATTGAATGGAGTTTAAATATACCAATAGCGAAGCTTCCTTTGATAGGTTTATGTAGTTTTCCCGACAGATTGTGAAAATAGTTTGTCCCTGCTTCCTTTGGCAATATTTTGGGACATTCCTGGTGTTCCTTGGAGTTCTCCCATCCATGTGCTAATCTGCTTAGCTTCTGAGCTCAGACAAGGAAACCAAGCGCAACCAACCAATGAAGGCACCACTGGCTTAGCAAAGGAAAGGAGGAAAAATTAAGATGAAATTTGCACCTTCTGATTTATATACACTGTGCTGTGCCATAAAGGTTTTCTGAGGATAATAGGATTTGATGGGCGATGCAGTGCCATAGCAACTCCTCTTGGTTTTCCCTGCCACTTATGAGAAAAATACATCAAAGAATGCAGTTTTTCTTAAATTCACCATATTCCTTACTAAGTATTAGTTAGCAAGGAGTATTTATTGCTGGAAAGTGCAACGAAATCACCATTGTTCCTCCTTTTTCCTATCTACCACCACTTTAGACTAATAAAGAATTGCAACAATTTTTTTTTCCTGTACGGTTGCAAAGTTTTAATGTTCCCCAAACCAAAAGTGCACATTTCTCTATTTCTCAAAAGAAACTCATCTTGTTCCTACAAGAATATCTTTCTATAGTAAACTAAAGTAGGTTCTAATCTCCATTATCAACCACTTAGCACTGTGTTTCTCAAATATGGTAACTTTATGATATGAGGCCTATTGCTTTAAAGTATGTGCATTTTGTTCACATATGCATCAAACATAACTAGACAAAAGTTTCTTGCTGTGTCTGATGTGTACGTAGGAGTGAATTTATCTTCCATGATGTGTGAAACATCCTTTAGTGTTATTCAATACAACGAATCTCTTATTCCACATTAAATATATTGTATATTAACAGAAACAAATGGACTACAGTTTTTGTATCCTTCCCCATTATTTCAACGTAGAAAACAGATGTTTGAGTTTAAGTGACCCAATAAAAGGTACAACATTCTGTCTGCAAATGCCTTATAAAGTTTTATCAGAAGTTAAAACCTACATTTCTGTGCAGATTTATTGATGCCGATATGAGGTGGAAGGCAAAGAGCACATCAAAGGGAAACTGTAAGAAGAGAATGTATTTCAAGTATAATGCCAGTTACAATGAATATTTCCCTGGAGCAAATCTGGCAAAGAAATGTGCTCCAAGAATATGAAGCCAGACATAAGGGGAAATGGAAATTCATAACAAAAAATAAAAACCCTCCAACTGAAGATCTGTGATGCAATCTTTTAGCAAGATCTTTTGTTCATCTCCTTCTGGGAGTGCCAGAGAAGCAAAGCAAAATGCAACAATATGTTTCCAGTGTTGCTTCCTATTTTCATTTACGGAAAGCTGCCTCCCAATTCCTAGTCTCAGTTCTTGAAAGGATCAAAGAGGGGAAGAGAATACTTCATGCTTCATATATCACACATCAGAGTTGCCAAGGATTTAGAATGATGAAACTCAAGATTTCATGGATTATTTTGTTGCCAAGAATTAAGACAATATGAGCATAGGAAACTGTTTACTGCGCTAAAGCTCGGGCTTAATGAGTGTATGTGTCTGTCTATTCAGGGTATTTCCAAATAGGGTGTGTGTGTGGAGATCTGTTAGGAAAACTCAGTACATACCTTCCGCAGATAAAGTGCCATCACAGCTTGCAAAAGCTAGAAAGTGTGAACCATTCTGATGCTTCAGTCAAACAATGAATGGTCTTACCTTATACTGAATGCCATTGTCTAAACCATGGGTGTCAAACTCGATTTCATTGAGAGACATATCAGGGTTGTGTTTGACTTCAGGGGGCCAGTGTGGGCATGGCCAGTGTGAGCATGGCCAGCTCAATGTCACTGGTGTCAGGGGTGTCTCTAGTGGCCCGAACACAATGAAAATGGGCTCCCGAGCGAAGGCCTCCTGCAACTTCTACCAGCAAAAACAGAGTTTGGGAGGGCAGCCTGCAGGCCAGCCCTTTGCTGTTTCCAGGATTGTCCTGCAGGCAGATCTAAGAACCCTGTAGGCTGGATCCGGCCCACAGACCTTGAGTTTGACATCCCTGATCTAAACAGTTTCCTTTTTGTGTTCTTGAAGATCTGGCCTGGTCTTTATCTGGAGAAGAATCCCAAGAGCCATGGTGGCATAGTGGTTAGAGTACAGTACTGCGGACTACTTCTGGTGACTGCTGATTGCTAGCAGTTTGGCATTTCAAATCCCATTGGCTTATGCTTCCATCCTTCCGAGGTTGGTAAAATGAGGACTCAGATTGTTGGGGGCAATTCTGTAAACTGCTTAGAGATGGCTGTAAAAGCACTGTGAGGCAGCATATAACTCTAAGTGCTATTGCTAAATTAAATAAAGCATGCCAGCCTTTTAAAAGGGGATGGAGACATGGAAATACTATGGTGACTAGAATAAAACCAAGCTCCCTCACCCCTACATAACATGCTTATCGTCTTTTTTATCCTTAAGTCATCCCCTGCAGCCCTTGGCATCCCAATTTTTCTATGTGACCACAAACTATTCCTGCATTTGAGTTTCAAGCAAGAACTATGAGACATACCAATATATATTCCCTAGGCCCTTTTATATCACAAGCCATGGTTCTGACACATTCTTCCTTTGGATTTATCTGTTGGCTGCCACATTACTAGAAAATGGCAATTCGAAAAGGTTCTAGTTTGTATCTTGATGGATGTATTTCATGTCTTCTGGCAATGTTATTCTAGTTTTCAATACCAGGATACAGAATATTACTTCTAGAGTTATGCCAACATTTCTCGGAATCTTCTGAAACGTTCTGTTCTTTTTCTTGCCCTAGAAATAGAAAACCATTTTGCTGAATTATCTTCAAACAGTTTCCATCATTTAGTCGTGGCAGTCATCATTTCACAACTCTTCTCTTTGCCACTTGCTGAATTCCTTGGGACAGACAGTGTTAAATTACAGCTAATGTGTCATGTAGAACTTTACAGAATTTATTCTTCTGGGCATGTATGATAAAATAAGATAGGAACTTGGGTTGGAGGCTATGCTATGTGGGTAAAAGCAGCAAAGGATTTATATTTCTCCACTAATATTGCATCGGCTGCCCACCAGTTTTTGAGTGGGGAATCATCAATTTTTTCCTCCTTCTGCCACCTTGGACTACAGTTGCTGGTATGAAACTGGGAGGAAGGTCTCTGGACCAAAGACTGAGTTCTTCTCATGTTCATGTGTGGTAGCTCTCTGTTTCACCATCTGAGAACCTCTCCAGCAGAAACTCCTAGGTTAATTTACGACCATAATCACTAGTTGTTCTGACCTGGGTTTCCCAAGAGCCTGAAGCAAACTCCTTTTCCTGACAGAAACCCCCTTTTATTAAGTTGCTGTGAATTCTGCTCATTTATATCCAGCAAAGTCTTTCAAGGGAGGATCTACAGTCACAGACCTTATCTGGCTTAGAGAGCTGCCAGGCAGATATCTGCAAAAAACCTGGCAAGGAGTCTGGAGAGTCACAAACCAATTAAGCAAACTAATTGTCTCCTGCAAACTCCCCTCCCCTTTCGCTCCTCTTTTATTTCCTCTGGGAGGGGCCATTCATCAGCCACCTGTGGCCTTACTCCCAAGTCGAACCCTGTTCTTTAGCTGTTCCGTTCATCAGGCAACTTTGCGCATGAGCACACTGGGAACAGGCTCCAACTGTTCATCTGCCTCACTGATGTTTGACTCTGAAGGCAGTTGATAACTGGCATACAGCTCTTTCCCCCTTTCTGCCTCTGACACAGAGCCCTCATCCGAGCCTTCCCCAGACTCCAGGACTGGCCCATGTTCCTCCCCAACCTCCTCACTGTCCGAATCTGCTCCCAGCTCTGCTAGCCACTGGCAGGCCACAACACTGGTGTGCTATCAATTATTATTTTAAATGAAATAATTCAACCACATCCCTATTTCACAACAGCTTCAGGTGTCTTAAGTATGCAATAGAGGTAGTCCTCGACTTACAACTGGTCACTTAGTGGCCATTCAAAGTTACAACGGCACTGAAAAAAGTGACTTATGACCATAGCAGCATCCCCATAGTCATGGGATTTGCATTCGGATGCTTGGTAACTGGTTCATATTTATGACGGTTGCACTATCCCTGGGTCATGTGATCCCCTTTTGTGACTTTCTGACAAGCAAAGAAAGTGTGAAGCTAGGTTCACTTAACAACCGTGTTACTAATTCAACAAGTGATTCACTTAAAAACTGTGGCAAGAAAAGTCATAGAATGGGGCAAAACTCATTTAACACCATTCTCACTTAGCAACATACATTTTGGGCTCAATTGTGGTCATAAATTGAGGACTACCTATACACTTCTATTGTTTGTATCTCCAGAACCAATATGGGGTTTTATATCTTCACTACTGCTGCCAAACCCTTTTGACATGATGTAGGACAGAATGGCGAAACAAATTGTATAATTTTCAAAATAAACAAAATGGTAAAATTATATTCATAATCAGCTTGCTGTTTCTTTATGGGCTGCATCGGTATTGCTTAAACAGCCCTGTAACACAATATATGGAAATTGGGGAAAAGAAAAAGATGAATTGGACAGGGAAAATAATTTAAATTAATTTGCGTGCATTTTGTTAATTATTAAGCCAGAGGCAAAACATTAGCTTGCTCGGATTCTTTTTTTCCCCCTTTACCATTGGCTTCCCTACAGGATAAACTCCTAAAAAGAAGAGGCATTAAATTCTAATGATACAGTTTGAGTACCACTTTTGATAGGGGTCTGATGTCACCATTTTAAATCCAAGCTACATTCAATAAAGCTGTCAAAATATATCCAAGGAAATAGGCTTGAGAACACAAGCCTAGGGGAGAGGAATTGCTGAAGAGGGATACCAGAATAGGAAATGACCACATAGGGTAATTGAAACCATGAACAAGAATCAATTTATTAAGAATCAATTGTGTTTTGCACTTTCAGGGCCCAGAAAACCAAATTTCTTTAAACAGAAAAAGTCAACAATCACCATTCAGATGCTGCTGAACTACAATTATTAGGGCCACCAACCACTGTCCATGCAGATGGACCAGATGAGAGCTGATAGTGTCTCTTCCTTCCTTGTGAAATGAAGATCAGTGTGTGAGGACTTTGTGGGGTCAAAGACAATTAGAATGCATGAACCATTAAAATGAAAGTCTTCCCGCATGATAAAAGAGCAACAGTGGAGCCTGTAGCATTTACCTAATATCCACATTTCATCCATAAAACAGTTGTAGTTCATTAAAATGGTTCCACTGTTGTCAACCTCACATTTTCAGAAACTTCTTTTAGGTGTTTCATCTGTGGCTTTGTGGCTTCCTGCTAAGCAGGTGTGTTACCATCTTAATTCTAAATTAGCTACAGAGTATGACTCATGGCATTATTCAGGTAATAATGCTTGGTTTTCACTAATTCATTCCCTGCAATGAACCCAAAATGGATAAAACCTGGGAATGAGGCCATGTGTACTGCCAGAGAATAATTTAGTATCTTGTTAAGGCAAGAGTAACAGGTTGTTGCTGCTTGGTTACAAGAACTTAGCTATCAAGCGCAGGAAATCAGGAGCCAAGGTGGTTCAAAAAAATACAGGTTTATTGCATGCTACAATTCTCTACAAAACTCTGAACTACTATCGGTCAAAGCAAGTTGGCAGTAAATAAGAGCCAATGGAATTCAAGGTAGACTGGAGTTAGATCTCTTGTGGACGCGAAGTGACTCAAGACTGATGACATGCTTGACACCTCTCTCGGGCGCTCTTACATCAGTTATTTTTACATGGATACAAGATGTCCCAAGAAAATGTATTACTTTCCTGCAGTGCAAATCCCATTATGGGAAAAGGACCCGTTTTTGTTAAGTCTTCTCCATCTAAGCTTCATTGGCTGTACAGATAAAGCATTAGAGGGCATTGGAGGACTGGGGTTTTGCATTCTTGGGTTGCTGGTGGCATTTCCTTCCCATTCAGTGATTTTTCAGTCTAAGCAAGTGTTGTTTGTCTAACTAAGCATTTCTGATCTTTTGCAATGGTTAATTAAATCTATCACAGTACACTGAAAGTGCTCAATTATTCTTATCATAATATAATGCATCACAATTAAGAATATTTTATCGCATGACTCCATTGTGATCTGGGCTCCTGAATAGACTGTGAAAAATTACCTCCAAAATATTAACAGTAATTATTTTAAGTGCTTAACTAAATATGCATTACGCTAGGAATTAGAATTCTTTTTTTAAAATAAAGCTCACATTCACTATGGTAGGATGGCAAAACTTTCTTCAAGCTGAAGGTCACACTTGGCATCTGAATAGTATTACAGGAACTGCATCTAAGGAGGAAGCCGGACCGAGCAAAGAAATAGATAGCAACAAGGGAACCATTAATTGACCTGTTCTCTATGATATATACTTATTTTTCCCTTCTGTTTCCATAAATATTACAATTTGGTGGAAACTTTTGGATAGGAGCTTTGGTTCTACCTAAAAGGCTTTGACAATCCATATCCAGCTCTGGCATCTGAGGTATGCATCATGATTTTTTGGGAAGACTTGTAGCGGTTCAGTGGGGCTCAGCCAAGGGCAAAAGTAGTCAAATATGTGGTTTTTTTCTGAATTACTTTTCTCTTTTACTTCTTCTTCTCTTCCTCCCTAACCCCAGCAGTCAACCAGAGCAGAAGTCACAGGTTCTTTAAATACACATTTATTGTGTTGTAAAAGCAAGTCATACATAAACCTATATTTCTGCACTTCCGCATTTCTCAATCCAATGCCTTCAGACATGTTAGACCAACTCCTACCCTGTTTCCCTGAAAATTAGACCTCCCCGAATAACGAGCCCAATCAGGCTTTTGAGCGCATGTGCTAAAATAAGCCCTCCCCTGAAAATAAGCCCTCCCTGAAAATATTGCAACACAGCACCAGCCATAAGGTAACCATGCTTGCCACCTCCTGCACCTCAAAATAATAAGACCTATCAAGAAATAAGGCCAAGCGCTTATTTCGGGCATCAAAAGAAAATAAGACCCTGTCTTATTTTGGGGAAAACACAGTATATTTCTAATATCTAGAATAGGATTCCTCAAAATAGTGAATATTAAACCCCAAGGGTTGGGACTATCCATTGTTGTTGTTACTTGTATTACTATTAATGGAGTATTTATGAAAATATTTTATTATAATCAATAATTTGAGGTTAATTAAAATATGAAACTTCATGAAGGGGTCAATGGTCTGAAAAGTTTGGCAACCCCTGGTATAACCATAATCTAGAGATTATGCGCAACGCATCTGAAAGACATGAAGTTAGAAAAAAAATGCTATATATAATCAACCTGGATATTCTATCTTCTTGAAATTAATGAGATTCACTTCAGAGTAGATGGCTACAAAATTGGCTACTTTGTCCTTTTAGCCAAATGCAATCAACATGACATTTCTGGTGTATATTTTTACTCCAAAAATGCACATTTCAGATTAACATGAAAAATATTTTTCTCTCTTCATTACATGTGGTCTTTGAATTCAGTAACTATTCAAAGTTACAACAGCACTGATTTATGATCATTTTTCACACTTACCACCATTGCAACATCTCCACGGACACATGATCAAAATTTGGACACTTGGCAACTGGCATTTTATTTATAACAGCTGCAATGTCCTGGGGTCATTTGATCACCTTTGGACAAGCAAAATCAATAGGGAAGCCAGATTCTCTTAACAATCACATTATTAACTTAACAACAGCAATGATTCACTTAACAATTGTGACAAGAAAGATCCTAAAATGGGGCAAAAGTCAATAACTGTCTTGCTTAGGAACAGAAATTTTGGGCTCAGTTGTGGTCCTAAGTCAACAACTACCTGTGCTTCCAACTTCTCTTAATTTTAATTTTTTAAATTGGTTCATTTGAGACTTTTTTTAAATTAAAAGTACTGAATTCAAATCAGTGATATCATATATGAATTTAATTCTTAAATTATCTGTCTTCTTTGGATAAATACGCAACCAAGTTTCAAAATGTGAATTCTGAATCAATTCATAATATTGAATGTTTTGGTGCAATCAAGATAAACTGAGAACTTTTCTATTAATGTTCTTTCTTTTCTTTCTTTTAACTGAATATGCCATTGTTACCAATCACTATTAAAAAGGAGCAGATTTCTACTTCCATTTAGAAATACAAGCAATATAGTGTACAATTTTCTATGTGAAGGAACAGAATCACAACCTATCAGAATAAATGTGCTGATTGAAACAGAGCTATCAGCAGACCACATTGGATAGTTATTATTTTCCCTCTTTTTTTTTGGCAAATTTTTATTTTGTTCAAAAAGGTTAAAAAGAAAAGAAATTCAAAGATAAAACAATGCTAAACGAGAACATTAAATAATGTGACTTGAAAGGTCAAAAAACAAAAACACATTATTTATCCACCCAGGTAAACCTTGAAAAATATACAATACAATAATACAGTACAATAGCAGAGTTGGAAGAGACCTTGGAGGTCTTCTAGTCCAACCCCCTGCCTAGGCAGGAAACCCTATACCGTTTCAGACAAATGACTATCCAACATCTTCTTAAAGACTTCCAGTGTTGGGGCATTCACAACTTCTGGAGGCAACTTCTGTTCCACTGATTAATTGTTCTCACTGTCAGGAAATTTCTCCTCAGTTCTAAGTTGCTTCTCTCCTTGATTAGTTTCCACCCATTGCTTCTTGTTCTACCCTCAGGTGCCTTGGAGAATAGTTTGACTCCCTCTTCTTTGTGGCAATCCCTGAGATATTGGAACACTGCTATCATTCTCCCCTAGTCCTTCTTTTCATTAAACTAGACATACCCAGTTCCTGCAGCAATACTGCAGCAATAATAGTTTATTTATTATCTTGGTCTTTTTTTCTTGGTGTTTCCCAAATGCTGACGTCATAGTCAAAGGACTGAGTCCTAACCAAAGATAGAATTCTAAAAGATCTACCGGTATCCGAGTTCTTTTGATTCCAATGGTGTTACTTCTGAATAAACATGTATAGGACTACAATTGTAAGCATACTCATGCTTACAATATTCAAACAAATTAAGCACCCTTGAAACTGTGTTAAATTACAGCCTGGGAATGTAAACTCTGAGCAGCCTACACTTGATTCTACAAGGCAATACAAAGCCACCAACAAAGTAGACATACTATAAATCTGCTTTCAGGTTTTTCTTTTATATTTCCAGAGACAAGTGTTGCCCATTTTGAAGTATCAACTGGGAATGCATGTGTGGGTGGAAACATCCTTAGAGCAAACAAGCACAGTATTACTGCTAAATTAAAGAAACATCTGAACAGCAATCCTAAATAAATGGAAACATTGGAACCTTCCAAGTACTTTACTGTTTCTTTCCCACAGAGAAACTATGACAACTGAAAGTAGTCAGTCTCACTGTGGTAACAAAACTGTATTTTTGTCCATATGAGCTGTAATTATTCTTTTAATTCTAACATATACATTTCCATATGAATGAAATA